ACACGCACCTGTAAGGAACATTAAAGTTTTACTTCCAATGTTTCTGCTTCCGCATTTTGTGTGAATGATTCAGGAAAAACAAACATTTGGTGCCTTTCGGACATTTTATACCATTACCATCCCAAAACTATGACTCAGCTCACAGTACTGGGCTGTATTATTAAGAGCAGAGTGGCATTTAGAGTGATTTTTACTAAATGAATACACAATTAAGTCTTTTTGCACAAAACATGCCACAACAATTAGTTGTTGGCTTGTTTTTTGTTAAGCTTCATGTTGATACTGGACCATCACCTTAAACACCAGGATGTTGTCCCATGTTTTCTCATTTTACACCAAATAACTCAGCTAAAAAAAAGTTTTATTTGTTACACAGAACCTGCTTTAAGCACAATAAAAGCTGATTTTAGTGACGAGCTAAAGAATCTAATCAAATAATTCGAGCTGTTCCAGCCCAGTGTTTATTTTAAAAAGTGTTTCATCTCAAAAAGGCTGAGAACAAGAATTAATGAGCTGCAATAGCGAGTTATAACAGTCTGATTTACTCCGTGGTGTCTTTGCCTCGTTTTAAAGTCATTTGTTTTGCTCCAAAGAGGCATGTTTCCCGCCCCTCTGTGAGTGAAAGCAGCTGCAGGAATCATTAAAATCCCCACCTGCCTCGACATGAACGTCTTTCACAAGTAGACGTAGACGTTTGTCCAGCGCTGCAGTGAGACACTGTTTGATAGAGAGCAAGAGTTTGGAGTTATTTGGATGGCGAGTAAAACTACAGGCTGCATATAGATTAAAAAAAATGGAGGACATCTGTAAAATGGCGCTAAACATAAAGTGGAGCTGAGGCTGATGGGAATGTCATTAGTTCTGCTGAACTAAGTGAAGTGCGATAGGCACATGGATCTGATCCACGTTTATGTTTTAGAACTTCTTTGCGTGTTCCTGCGGTTTGCACGGTCATATCTACTCTCTGAGCTAAGCTGTGCGTTCTTCTTTTACCTTTGCAGCTTCCTCCTCGCTTCTAGATTCATCATTGCTGCTTCTGGCCACAGTAACATGCTAACAAGTGCTTTAACTTAGTGATTACTCCAGTACTTAAAATTCATCATCAGTTCTTATTGAGGTCCTTCGTTGGGTTGGGCAGCTGTGAGCATTTGCTGAATAGAGCGTGATGATGGAGATCAGCTGAGTGATGTTTCTCAGAGGACCATTTTTGAAAACAACTGAAAAATACTTTACAGAAACTACTCAGACAGTGAGATTGAGATCGGAGCAGCAGCAAGATAGCCAGCCAGTTTAATTCCTGTCTTTTTAACCTCCCCTCCATTCTAAAAGCCCAGTTTCTTCTGATTGGTCAACTTCCAAAAGCCAGCTGAGGGGCTGCACCCGTTCTTCATGAGCATGTAACGAAAAATCAACGAGTACGATGTTCAGAGCAGTCGGGAATCCGCTTTTCTGTCACTGCTAGTCTATAGACTATATGCACGTTAGCATATGCTACTTCCGGCGCGGAAACTCCTGTGGGGAGGTTTGTTTCCGGTGTCCTATTCGCGCCTTGTTCATTTTAAGCAAATGAATGAATCAAGCGGTGATTTACATTTCTATAGATGTCTCGGGCATTTGCCCAATATATCTGTAAATGATGTTCATCGACTTGTCGATATTTTTTCCCCGCGCCTCAGAGCAAAAGAGAAACTGGATTCAAATGTTATATTTCTCAGCGGTCCCTCGTTTATCACGGGTGTTAGGTTCTAAAAATAACCAGCGAGAGGTGAAATCAAGTAGCCAATTTTATTTTTTGATGGTGCAAAACGTTTCATGGACATCGTGGACATACAGTACTGCACTTCAGAGTCACACTGCGAGCGATCGATGCAGCGATTCTATGCTGTACAGAAGAGACGTAACGGAGGAGATCGTCTGCAGTGATCAGGGCGCAGGACACAATGTGACGTAAAAATAAGCATGCAAACTTGAGCTAAAAAATCTGTGAAACAGCGAGGTGAAAGGTGAACCGCGTTATAGCGAGGGACCACTGTAATTTTGAAGGTAAGTCACAACATACCTTCGTAAATACTAATGTATAGAAACCCTTACCAGCAGTCATTCATTTTTTGTGTGGCTTTTTTCACGGTTTGTTAACATGCTGTGTGTGTGTGTACTGGACTAGCTGATCTCGACATAACGGGGAAACATCTGGTTTGACTATTCTTCACCTTTGAATGCTGAACATTTGCCTGTTTAGATCATGAGACCAGTCACTATACAGAGATGTGCTTCTGAGTGTGGACGATGTGTCTTCTGCTGCAGTGATGCAGTTCTGCTTGTGTTGAGTGATGTAAACAACTGATCGATCTAAACGCTTTAAACGTCAAAATTGATCATTAGATTTTTTTATGACACAGCAGCGGTGAGTGTTCCCACCTTCTGCTCTTTGTAACTTAATGCGATCTTTCCGTTTTTGAGTATATCTTCGCAGTAGCGATTGACCGCAAAGTAAAGCTACCGGAAATGTACAACCCCACATCCGGTCTCAAACCAGGAAGTTAGCATTTTCTCGTGCACAGGGTCTATTTTCCAGCATTGGCTCAATGAGCTCATCTGCAAAAAGCAATCCAATCCTGATTACTGCCACCTGCTGGACTGGAGGGGAACATGTTGCTGCAAAGCCACTGGCAACACAGCTGTTTCACACAATGTAGACAAACAGTGTGAAGTGAAACAGTTCCATTCCTTAAAATTCCAAATAGTGTGAATGGAAAAGCAGATAAATGTGACCCGTGTACACAATCAGATGAAATATTGAAATCAAATATATTTTTTTAACTCACAAAAATTGGTTCTGATACCAAACATCTCATCTTGGTCAGGTTCTAGACCAAAGTGCCAGATTCCAAATCATAGAAAAAGTCAATGCAGATCTCCATTGGAAAACATATTAAGTCTAGAGTAATGAAGGAATAATGAGGGACCAGCAGACTGAAGCCCTGGCAGGACTAATACACTAATTTGAGTCAAACTGCAAATGGAACCGTGACTTTTGTTAAACTTAAAATGTCAAATCTGTTACCAAAACAACCGGAGATTCATTTCTTTTCCAATCACCTTAAAAATTTATGGACTAGTCGTTACAGCTCTGACCAGATTTATGGAAAATCTTCAACTCTGGGACACGCTGCGGTCATCATCACCTTCTTGGCTTTTATTCATCTGCTGTTTGGACTTTAAAGCTGTTTTTTTTCTCGTTACTTTTTATATTTGATTCAAACTTAACTTTTTTATACGATTCATTTGAGATCTCCATTTGATTTTCTGTGCGCTGCCGTTATCTGATCCATGTCTCTCTGGAAAAGTTTCTGAAGCTCACTCTTTGCAGATAATGCGTTTATCTGGGATATTGGTTAATCAACTGGTTGTTGTCCTGGTGAAATGGGGAACATGTTAGAAAAAACACACCATAAAACTGAAGAAACTCCTGAGACGACTTCTTGAACGACGGTTCAAACAGAAGCTCTTTGTGTTTGTTTGCTTAAAATGATCAATCGATGCGATTAACTGATGATCAAAGCGCTCAATCCACCGTCATCTCTGATCAGCTTTTGCACTTTTCTTCACGTAGGTTTGGAGTCATTATTTAATCTCAAATTTGTCTCCTTTATTATTGATCTGAATCTGACCCGTGCCATCGATCAGATTATTGATCACAGGATCAGTGTTTAGCTGAACATCTGTTTGGTAAGGACACATGTGGGGGAGACTTGCTGCTACTCCTGGCACCATTTACATTCAATCAGTCATTATCATACAGCCCATCACATCACTTATTGATCGTGTGATTATTGATGTGCAGGTTGATTTCTCTTCTTCTTCTTCTGCAGCAAATTTATGTTTTAATCCGTTTTTAATAACTCATTCTTTTTGTTATCGACTCATTTTTTCGCTATTTGGGGCCGTTTGGTCCTGAAAACCTGATTTGGACTGTTTGTTGTTAAACTGATCACATCATTGATCGACTTGTAAACACATCAGCAATCCTTTACCGGGACTGTGATCCAAACGTTACTTGAGGATCAGCGCGGTCTGTTCGGTCGGGATTCTGATTGATAACCTTCAGCCTGGTGGGACTTGAGTGTGTCAGGAAGAACATCGATCACAATGAGATCATCACGATCGCGGCTCTGAAATAAATCCCGACCCTGAACTCGCCGAACCGGGATCAGAAATGTGCCGGTCTCGGTTCCGTGAGCAGAGCTGGGGGCTGATCCAGAAGATCGAGGCTGCTCTTCGGCACATGGGCAGTCGGATGAAGGCGGATTCAGAAAAACACAAATCCGAATTTGGTGCGTGGATCTCGGCAGCAGCCGGCGGTTCGTCCGCAGAGTTCGGGGCGACCATCGGACGCGTTTCCGGGGTTTCGGCTGCGGTTTTGAACGTTTTTCTGCCGCCTTCCCCCCCCCTTTGTTCTTCCTTAATGGATCGGCGTCTGGAGCTGTGCTACCTCCCAGACCCCCTCCTCCTCCTCCTCAGCCTCCCCCACCACTCTCCCCTTCACCACACACAGAAAAACACACACTTGCAGCTCAAAATCGCCTCTTTTACGCACCGAACTCCGCACTTTAAAATGGAGGAAAAACGCAGAGGGAAGCGGTCCGCTTGGTGCCGTAACACAGGCCGAACCCCGAGGGCGAAAGCAGCCCCTACCTGTGGTATCAACCAACCCCCAAGTCCCACTCCTTCATCCCCACTCGCAGCATTGAGAAGGAGGAAATTTCCACGCGTAAAAAATAAAGAAAGGGGGGAAAAGCAGGCAGCAGGAGCAGCTGATGAGCGGTGATGCGGAGGGCAAGCGAGGCGTTTTCCCCCTGAAACATCCACACACTCATACACCCCTCTCCACAACCGCCACCACCCCGATACCCCCATATCTGCCGCCCGGACCCGGAGAACATCACCGGCCTCTCCACCTCCAAACACCACCTACTCCCTCCGGAACCCCTCAGACCTACCTGCACAGGGACGCGCAGAAAAGTCCGATCAGTTATTTAAATCCACACAGTCCCACGCGCTTCTGCTGCCTTTCTTCTTCTTCTCCTCACATAAAACCTGAGTGAGGTAAGCTCAGCTGGAGGCAGCAAGAGGAGCCCGCACAGGTCACCACAAAATCCTGCGGGTTTTTAAAAAGTGAGGAATAATCCAGAGAGCAGAGATCACAGAGCGCAGGAGCGCGGCGAGGTCTCCCATTCACACACAGCCTGCCTCGGCTTGGCTCGGCTCGGTCTGCCCCTACTCCACCACAGACAGCCCCCCAGCTGGAGCGTACCACTCTGCGCTGAGCTGGGAGGGGATACGGCCAGTTAGAAGCGGTCATTTAAACCAATTATCAATAGATTAATCGGCTTATCAAAGGCTCGGTGCTCCTCTGAGGACGTTAGCTAACGCGGAGAGGAAACGAGCATCGTTGAGAGGAATGGGACAGTGAGCGCGCTGTCTTTTTAATTGAAAACCAGCTGTTGTACCCCCTCCGAAAAGCCTCTCATGGTTCAGTCCAACTCCTTAATCTGCTGTTTTTCTCCTCCCAAAACCAGATGTGGAGAGAGAAACTGAGAGAGAGACATATAAGTGCTGTGTGTGAGAGAGAGCCCTATAGAGAGGTGCGGTGGAAATGTATAGCCTGCAAATGTATAAGAGAGAGAAAGAGGGGGTGAGGAGATGCATATCAAAATAAAAGGGGGGATGGGGGAGTGAAGAGAGATGGTGTAAAGACACATGGAGACGAGAGGGATAAAGAAACACAAATGAGAAACTGAGACGTGTGAATGAGGGAGGGAAGAAGCAGAGCAGTGAGAAGAAACCGAAGCAGAGCGATCTGATGGAGAGAGAGACACACAAACTGAGCAACACATTCAGGAGATTTCATTGTGCCTGATGATAAAATTGCTGCTGCGTCTCCCAACAGGTGTTGAGTCATCGAGAGATACTGAAAAATAACAATAAAAAAGTTTAACCCTGTAAAGCCCGGCACAGCAGATCACCTGCCTCCAGCTCACGTCTGCCACACCAACCTCTGCCTGTCCTCCTTCACCACCAGGAATCGTCTCTGTGGTCTTCCTTTTCCTTCCTGCCTTCAACGAACTTTGTCCAGCACATCGGTCTTCCCTCCTCACACATGTCCAACCTGTCTTTGTCTGACCTGTCCCTCAGATTCTTTCTTTTCTAATTCTGTTCTCCCAACCAGGTCTCACTACGCTTTCACTCTTGTGTCAAAATCACCCCTGACACTCATCTCCACCCTGCCTGCTTTCTCACCCCCCCAGCTTTGGATGGGCACTCCCGGATATGTAAACACATGTATCTGTGTTGCTTCTGCTCTTCTCTTCAGTTCATGCCTCCACATCTCCAGCCTCTCCTCCACCTGCTCCATATTCTCACCACAGATCACAGAGTCATCTGCAAACACGATCGTCCACAGAGACTCCTTCCTGATATCATCTGTCATCCTGTCCATCACCACCCCAAACAAGAAGGGGCTCAAAGCCCATCCCTGATGTAATCCCACCCCCACCTTGAGCCCATGTGCCACTCCTACCTCTCACAGCTCACCACAGTCTCCCTGTCCTCATACACGTCCTGATTTCCTCACGCAACACCACACTTCCTCTCTTGGTACCAATATCATATCTTTCTCTCAATCCACAAAGACACAGTAAAGCTCCTTCTGACCAGCTCTACACTCCATCAACACACCCTCAAAGCAAACATCACATCTGTAGAGCTTTTTCTCAGCATGAAGTCACACTGCTGCTCGTGGATCGTCACCCACAAGCCAGTTTCCTCCCGAGGCCGGATAAATAAGGAAGGTAGAGTCAGGAAGGGTGTAAAATCTTTGGCAAATCAAAAAAAACACTCGCGAGAAAAGAAATAAGATGGTATTTTAAGCTCTTAGTGTGATTTCTTTTTCTCTATCACACATGATCATGAAGCCTCTGAGCACAGGTGTGAAAAGGACCCCCCAGAGTCTCACAGAGGAGACAGAATTAAATCAAGAGCGTTAATTAAAGTCTCTGTTTAGCTGTTTTAAGTTGCTTCTGCTGATTTCTGTCTCTTTATAGATATTTTAAGTCTTTTAAAGTAAGCTACTTTCAGCTGCTGCCTTACCACAGGCGTCGCCACAGCTGGCAGCGCCTGAGTGTTACGCTGCATGGCCTTCATGCATGCAACAGGAATCAAACCAGCAGCTTTTCTTATAAACGTGCTTTTAGTTGTTTTAAGTCTCTCTGTCGTAATTTCAGGGGTCTTTCTAATTTGTGTCTCCCATTTCTTGATGCTTTCGTGTCTTTTGTAGTTAAGTCTCTTTTTAGTTGCTTTATGTCTTTATGATGTCATCTTAAGACTCTGTCATCATTTAAAGGCTCTTTGTAATGTTTTCAATCATTTTGTGGTTCTAAATCTTCTGTTTTGTAACCGTTTTCATGTCTGTTAATTTTTTAACTGTCATCATTTTTTAATCTTTTACATGTTTTTTTATTTTGTCTGTTTATTTTTAATTTGCTTTATAGTTGTTTTCTGTCTCTTTGCTGTCATTTTAAGACATTTTGTAATCTTTTACATCATTGTGTAGTTTTAGATGTCCGTTTATATATTTCATAGCTTTGTCGGTTTTTTATGTCTCTTCTCATCATTTTAAAATTGTTTTTCTGGTCTTTTAGAGTTTTAAAACTATTCATATATATTTTAAGTTGCTTTGTAACGTTTTATTCCTCCTGGTAAGTGTTGGTAAGACTCGTCTGTCTTTTGGAGGCTTTTTGTGATGTTTAAATCCTTTTTGCAGTTGTGTGTCATTTTTACTTGTTTCAAGTTGCCTTGAGTTGTTTTCTGTGTCTTTGCTCTTATCTTTTATAATTTTTTAATGTGTCTCTGTAATCTTTTACATCATTTTGTGTCTTAAAATCCTTTTTAAATATTCTAAATTGCTTTGTAATTCTTTTATATTCCTTTATGTATTTTTTTACCGCTTTCTTTTTCATTTATTTGTGGTCACTTTATGTCTAATGTATATCCATATGTACTTGTATAGAGTTATACTGACTTTGTCTTGCACATCCGTGTACAATAACACAGACGTGTCTACTTTTGTAACGAGTAAAAGTCTTTTTATTTGACATAAATGTGCAAAGATATTTAAAATACAGTTGTGGTAAAAACGTTGCTCAGTTTAGAATAATATGGATTATTACTGAATGTACGTACAGACCCACTCATATGTTTATCACCATTAGTAAAGGGTAACTAAAGCAGTCAGACACACTTTTTCGCACACACTTGGACGTCACAGGTATAATTAAGACAAAATGTAGATGCTTGTGTAAAATTTTAAGCACATTTCATCGCTGCCTCTTGAAATGCAGCTGAAGGAGAATCTAACAACAACAGAAAAACACACTCCCTGTAATAAAGCAGAAGTGCGTGATTACAGATTAGTCACATCCTGACTGACTGATGAGTCAGTCGACAACCAGACAATAGGTGTGTTTCCACTGCGGGACTTTTCCTCGAGAAACAGAAACCTTTTGAGGAACTTGGTTCCACCATAAGACAAAAAGAAGAAGGTCCGTACATATTTGGACATTAATGCTTTTCTTTTTTTTTAACTTTTAATTTAGTCACAGTTATCTGATGTATGTGGGGTTTAAGTGCAGGCTTGCAGCTTTAACTTCAGGGCTTGAACAAAACTATCGGACACCCACTGAGGATTATAGTAGCTTCCAGTAGCTTCCAGTAGCTAACAGGATCTTCTGATATGAAATTTTCATTGTGTTGAGATTTCTTTGTCTGATGTCTGGACGGCACCGACATCCCCACAGATGGTGTTTCCTCCTTTGTGGTGCTTTTATTGCAGCTCTCTCCTGTTTTTGTTGTTGTTTTCTACTTTTAGTTTTGTCTTCACTGAATGAAAAACAGTTTGATTGGCTGGAGATCCGGTAAATCTCTTTGTCATTGGTCAATATTTTAATTTTACCTTTTCCTTTACCTACAAAAACTCGACAGTACTTTGGGGTCATTAGTGTGGAGTGCAGTCAGCTTGGCTGCATTTGGCTGAATGTGAGCAGAACATAACTCTGAGCACTTCTGAATTCATTCTGGACACATTAAAAAACAGAATCAGTAATCAACAGTAAAGCGAGGCCGAGTAGACGCCGCATGTTCTCACGCATCGCCCTGCCTCATGTATGTTTCAGGTTATCAGCTGTTGTTGGTTCAGAGAAGCCTGAGCGGCTGATCTGGGCATCTTAGCTTTTTAAAGGTGAGATGTAAGCACCACAGATTTATTTAATTATTTGTGTCATGACGCTTTTCTTTCTTTTTCTTTTTTAACTGAACCTAGGAAGTAAACCCAGACGGCTTTAGGCAGATTTATGGAGTTTATTTACAACAAGCGATGTAAATATGAGTGAGCCGGGTGGCCAGGAACAAAAGAGAGCGCCGGACGTCCGAGCAGGTTTGATGTCCAAAGACAGACGATGATCATGGTACTTGCAAGAGGGCGGGCAGAGTCTACAGGTGAAAGGAAAGTTTGTGGTGCTGGATGAAGGGCTGGACTTGACCGGTGACTGGAAACTCCTCCACAGGTAAGAATTTTCTGGCTACAAAGCTCCCCAGAGTGGAGGTAACGATCAAGCAGAGATCCATCACCATAGCGGGATCATAGCAGCCTCTGAATGAGACCTGCCCAAAGGCAGAGCCTGAAATGATCCCTCCCAGAGCCACCCAGAGGGAGAGGAGGGACAGAACCGGCCAGCCTGGCCCAAACATGAAAATGTAGTTATTTAACTTTTTGTTTTATTTTGTCAGTAGTTTTCACCTTTGTACTTTATTAGGTGGAGACTTCCCTTCATAAAAGACATGGACAAAGATCTGTCTACTTCCTGGAGAGGGCTCTTCACATAATTCTGAAGAAAAGACCTTGTGATTGTCTTCAGGGTCATTCTTCCAGGACTCCTTTATCGTGCCGAGCACACCACAGTGTTCTTTTCTCTGATTAGTCATCTCTCTGATGGTTTCTGTTCACTTCACAGTCTAAGGATGACCTCACCGCTGCTCTGTGCTCTTCTGTGGACGTTCTGGGTTTGACACAACTGGACGACTGTCTATGAAAAATGATGAATGGACTGTTACTTATATAGCATCTTCCTACTCAGCTGAGCACCCAAAGCGCTTCTCATTCACCCAATCTCACACACACACACACACACACACA